GCTCACGCTGTCTCTATCGCTCTCTCAGAAACAAATAAGACATTAAAAAAAAATTTAAACAAACACCCTGACATTTCAGTGTCCTTGAACTCCCGACAAACAGCTGAGGGTTGAGAGCATGAACTTTGCAACCATGGTATGAAGCCATGTATGCCATAAAGCACCTGCAAGTCACCAAACTCTTAGCCTTCTCCTCATGTGTAAATATGGGCATATTTATACTCACTTCACATAAGTAGCTATGCAACTGAGAATAATGTATTGAAAATGTCTCATCCAGTGCCCAGCACATACTAAGTAATCAGTAAATTGTCTTCATCATTACCTTATCACTGGTTAATGTCTGTTACAAAGTTATCAGAAGAATGAGAATCTGGTAGGAGGGAGGAACCAGAAAAGTGAAGGGGGAAGTGATAGGAGGCCAAAGGCAAAGCTAACTAAACAGCTTTCGGTTGTTCAGGGAGCTTACCTGTCAGCACCTCAAGTACTGCAGCCTAGAACTGATGGGGTGTGGGGCGTGCACGGTGCTCAGCCAGGGTCCCGATTTTCCCCCTAGGGAACTTAGTTATCCACACTTGAAACAGAAATGAGTTCTTTGACCTTTAGCCTGAGCTGTACTCCCAAATTTGTTCTGGGATAACTTCTGTAGCACTTAAAAATGTGTTTTGGGGTGGGGGTGGGCGCCTGGGTGGCTTAGTCAGTTGAGCGCCGACTTGGGTTCTGTGCTGACAGCTCAGAGCCTGGAGCCTGCTTCAGATCCTGTGTCTCCCTCTCTCTGTGCCTTCCCTGCTAAGCTCTCTCTCTCTCTCAAAAATAAAATCAACATTAAAAAAAATTTAACGTGTTTTTTTTTTTCCTTTTAATAACATACAGGAAACTGATGTGAAAGAACATGATGGGAAACAACTCCCATGGTGAATTTAACAGAGTAGTTTAATACCCGAATGAAATTTAATGGTTATGAATGGCAAAACCACATGCACTGTCATCGGTTTAGAAGAGCTGGAGAAAACGATCCGCTTTCTCAGACTTCATCCATTCAAAACGCACGTGGTTGTTAAACCTACCAAGCACTAGACCTGCCCGCTTACACCCTCTTGTTTTCCCCTTCTGTATGTGAACCATGTCCTTTTAACCTGAGACCGTTCCTATCCCTTCCTCAAGATCAGGGTGTTGACTGCCCCTAGAAAGACCTACACAATAGGCTATTGCGGTAAAGAAAGAAGTAATCAGGTATTTCAAAGATTACTCCAGTAACAGTAGTCAAAACATTAATCTCTCATTATAGTATAAGGGTAGAAGGGGAAGACGGGCACCCACCAGCACGGCTGGCACGAAAGCTCTTGACCTGAAGCCGGGAGTGAGTTTCTTTATTTGCAGACCATCTCCCCCCGCTCCACATTGTACACAAAATTGTCTACCTATACATTTTCATGGCAAGAGAAAACCTAGCTCTCATCAACTGCTCCAAAGAGTACAGTAATTCACAAAAGCTTCAGGACCACCAGACTAGAAGCGCCAGCACCAAGCACCGATTCCCAGCTCTGTCTTGTGCACATCACAGGCCCGGCACCACTGCTGTCCCTCCCCACGCCACCCCCTCCCCGGCCCCCCTCACTGCCTCCCACCTCCAGAGATGAAACAGGGCTCCCACACCAGCCCTTCACACCACTCCCTTCACAACCGATGGCTTTAAAAAAAATCTTTAATGGAATCTGTGCTCAAATAATATGTTACAACAAAAATATACAGAATGTACACGATACAAAAATATTTAGAAACAAACATTGCAGCTTGTGTTTCCTTTCTCTTCCCACTTACTCAAGTCCTTGGGGGTGGAATTCAGTGTGGGGCACGGTTTTTAAGGCAGAGGAGTCTCGGTGCTTTCCGGCCAGCCCCGGGAGCAACGTGAAGGCAGCCAGGAGATGGCTTCCGCTGCACCCGGAAATCTACATTATTTGCAAACGAAATTGGACACTGGGGGAAGATCTGGGTTTGGTGAGAAATGACTCCCCTAATCCTCTGGGTAGGAACGGTCCTCCTAGAAATGGAGAGTCCTATTAGCTGGCAAAAATGCCTCATCAGGGAGCTTTTCCTAATTAAAAAAATGAATGATGAATGGTATCATTAAAGCAAAATTTCTCCTTTGAAGATTTGTTTTCCCTTCCCTAGTTCCTGTGATTCCTCTTCTGTTTAATGAGCAGGCATATCTAGGGCTGCTGTTTGGGGAATCCCTGGCTTTCCATTTCTGTTTCCCATGGAAGCAAGACCAGCCACTGGCCACAGCCCCATGAGGCAAACCGCCTTCCACACTGGGCAGTAACTGTGCTGGACCAGGAAGGAGGGACAATGGGGACGCGCTGCTGGCAGGGCGCTGGGGGTGAGGGTGGAAAGCCAGACACCAAAAACCTTTCTTACCAGACTATGGTCTCTGGCCCTGGGTTGTGCAGAGTGACTATTGACACCACTGGGTGGCCCTGCTTGGAGCTGATGGTTGGGTGAGGCTGGTGGGGGGGGGGGGTGTTAAGCACACCGAAGAACTTTGGGGTTACTTTTGGATGCCACTGACAGGGAACAGCAGCTGGGCTGGTGGCCTGAGGTCAGATGAGGCTCCCCTAGTGCGTCTCAGAAAGGATGGCAAGTGGGATTTCTGCCTCAGGCAGCAAGCTCCCATCTGAAGACCTGAGGGACTTGGGTGCTTCTCTGAGGGCTTTCTAGAGTCTAGTCTAGAGTCTAGAGTTCACAGTCTTCTCACCCCTAAGAGAGGAAGACCCTCTCCAGGCCACACCCGATGAAGACGGGGGTGACTCTCCACTCCCTCCACCCACAACCCAGAGCACCCAGGTGCCAGGTCGGGTGGACAGTCCTCAGTACTGTCAGTTTGAGTGTGGAGTGACCTCGGTGGCCACATGTGGGCACCAGGACAATGTATTTAGCACTGGGCAAAGACGGGGGGGGCGGGGGGGGGAGAGCGCGGGTTGACATAGCCTGGGGCTGAATGAAGACCCTGCCCATTCACATGTGATCACTGAGGACAGGAAGCCATCATCGCAGAAGATCCCCAAACTGCCTGGCCCAGCTGACTTTGGACCGAGCTCCTGCCCTCACTCCTGCACGGACCCAGTCCCTTTGCTACCCAGACTGGAATCTTCATCTTTCTGGGTTATCAGTGATTGGGAGTTCCACGAGCAGTAGAAAGGGAATCGCAGATTTTGTTAAAGGCCATCTTCCCCTTCCCCTCTGCTCAGGGCCTGCATCAGCTCCTGCCCGGGAGTCATTCCCTGAGCCTCGCTTTCCCACTTGTGCAGTGGGGGCAGGGACGAACCTGCCAAGTTCCCTCCCCGCTCTGAGCATCTGAGTCTCTGGGCCGCCTTCACCTCGGACACTCCTCCAAACTAGAAGTCGTTTTCCGGCCTAAATTGGAATTCCTTTTACTGCAGCCTCCCGTCCCCCTACTCCAACGGACACATGGTCCAGCCTCTCTTACACCCCCACAGCTCCTCCCCTCCTAAGGGAAACAGAACAAAACCTTTTTATTTGTGAAGGTCACTCCAGAGGAAAACAAGAACGGAATTGGGCAAAGGCAAACCACAGCATCCTGAGGGTCCCTGGGGCGGGGGGGGGGGGGGGGGGGGCCCCCCCCCCCCCCCAGACAAGTCTCCCACTGGCCAGTGGCTCTCAGGGAGATGCCGGGAAAGGGTGAGGGGTGGGAAAGAAGAGGCGAGCTTTGCTGAAAGCAAGACCANGTCCAGCCTCTCTTACACCCCCACAGCTCCTCCCCTCCTAAGGGAAACAGAACAAAACCTTTTTATTTGTGAAGGTCACTCCAGAGGAAAACAAGCTGCCTACAACGGGGAGGTGAGTCAGAGCATCCGGAGGGTGGGGGGGGGGGGGGGGGGGGGGGGGGGAAGGGCTCCCTCCGCCACAGACAAGTCTCCCACTGGCCAGTGGCTCTCAGGGAGATGCCGGGAAAGGGTGAGGGGTGGGAAAGAAGAGGCGAGCTTTGCTGAAAGCAAGACCATGGGAGTCATACCCTCCCACCTCTCAGTGCTTTCTTTCCTCTCACACAGATCCTTACACACACACACACTCCCCCCACAGGCTTCCTCTGCACCCCCCAAGTCCCCTCACGTTCTTTCCATGGCATGTCCTACAAGCACACAGGATGGATGTCCTCATCCACCACACCCATACACACGCACGTACACACATACACACATGCACACACACACACGCGTGCGCGTGCGCACGCGTCCCCGTGAACAAAGGAGAGGCACCACATAGGGGCAGGAAAAGAAGGAAAATGCTCTAGAAACAAGGCAGGGACACTGATGGGAGATGTCAGCATTCTGGGAGACGGGGAGGGAGAAGTCCAAAGTTGGTACGGGGCCTTCCCTAGGGTGGAGCTTGGGATGAAGTTTATTCCTCCTCTTCAGTTTCGTTCACTCGATACCCCCGGGGCAGGAGGGAGGCCTGGACTCACAGCACCTCCGCCCTCTGCCCACCCCAGGCACTAGTGCCCATCAACAGGAGGGCACTGCGGGCTCCTCTAGCCCCAAACTAACACGCCCACCACACGGCCCTCTTGCACTCCAGAGCTCCAAGCCCAGCAGCTGTGCAGGGAGCGTCCTGGCCCGCGACTGCACCTCTGCACTGGGCTGGACAAGAGCCGCCTGGCTCCTCTGTCCTCGGGCCTTCCTGACATCTCAGCGTGCGGATGAGGGGAAAGGAAAGCCCAATCTGCGACCAGAGAGGGGTCCCCCGAACATACGGAAATGGCCCAGCCCAAGGGAAGGGTTACTTTCACCGCACCCCAGGCCTTCGCCTTGGCCCGCTGTCCTCTGAACAGTCTAGAAAAACAATGGCAGCCACATCCAACTCATCCGGGAGGTGCCTTTCAGAAAAGAGGCTCCGTTGTCCAAACCTGAACACAAGCATCCCAGCGGCCCAGCGTCTCGTCCTGTCCTCCTGGGCGCCGAGGAGCTGGCGCTGAGAACAAGAACGTACGCGTTCCTTCCTGCCGCTGCCTCTGCCTCCCCTCCCCGACCTCGGTCCCCCCAGCCTCCTACGGAGGCGGTGGCAGCTTTAAGTCCAGCAGGGTATAGGCGAAGATGTTCCAGAAGACAGCGAACAGCACGAAGACTGTGTACATGGCCACAAAGATCCACCACAACGACTGGTCCTGCAGCCTCTGCTCGTAGTTCCTCAGGACCACCACGCCCAGGGTGATGCCCACGGCCACACCGCCCAAGTGCGCCACAAAGCTCGGGTGAGGGCACGGCGGGTAGGCTGATGGGTGGAACCGGAGCCACACGGCCCGCCCAAACTCCATGCTCACTGCAAGGGGAGGAAGCACAGAGAAGTCACAGTAGAGCCATCGGGCAGGGGCTGAGAGAGAAGCCTTGCACTCCATCCATCCGTCCGTCCACCCACCCATCCCCCGCCTCCGCCACCCACCCATTAATTCATTCACTATGCATTAGGCTGAGCGCTGTCTGTTCTCTGAGCTGGAGCTACAGTAGTGAAGACAGATCAACCCTCCTCCAGGGCTTACAGATCTGGCAGTCGACCAGCATCAATTACAGACATAAGATAATTCCAGTAAGAAACATTCCAAGGGGGGGAAAATAGGTAACTTTAAATCAATGCTGGACATAAGGAGGGGGATCCTCTGGTTTGGGGAATCAGGCAAGATCTCCCTAGAGGTGTGAAATTTGAGCAGAGATGTGAAATATCAAGAGAAGACCCTAAGAAGAAAGAGCATTCCAGGCAGAAGGGACAGCTTGTGCAGAAACCCGAAGACCCCTGTCCCCGCCCCTCCTCCCCCGCATTCATGAGTCCTGGAGGCTCAGTTTCCCCATTTGCACAGTCTCAGCCTCTATGTACCAGGCCGCACTGCTGGAACATTAATAACAACTTCAGTATGAGCTAGCACTTTACAGTTTATAAAGGGTTTTCATGTATTGCTTCAAACCCTTTAGAGAACCCTCAGAACCAGTGCTTTTGTGACTGGAAACAAGGGATGGAGAAAAGGGCAGAGAAGGAGTGGAAATAAACAGTCCCAACAACGCGCTAAAATTTCTGTCTTAACAGAGTCTAAAAAGCCCCTGTCCCATTCTCCAATTCATTCTTCTTGCATGAACTTGACTCGGCCAACCCAATGGGGTATACTCTCCTGAAAGGATAATCGCTGGGAAGTAGCCATTTCATTGCCCGCCACCAAAATAACACTAAGGGCAAGAATTCTCATCCCCATTTTACAGATGAGGAAACCAAGGCAAATTTGACAGATTCAAAGGAAGTCCTTGGAGGTGGATTTTCTTGTTCAGTTACCATTTAAGAAGGCGGGGTGCCTCTGTCCACCTTAACCACTCTGGGGCCGAGCATTCCCCTGGGAATTGCCTGATCGGCTGGCCTGGGCCCTGCAACTCCAAGGATGGCCGACAGATGGCAGAAAAGGAGCAGCCAGGAACTGACACTGAGTCCTCCCTGACCCCCTCCCCAGGCTCTGGGGGCCGTAAAGGAGGTTTAAAACACACTGGTCCCTATCTCTAAAAACAGCATTTTCGTTTTTATGATGCTTAGAGTTGGGAATTTTTTAAACAGCAAGATTCAGGCTTCTCCTCCCTTCCTTGCATCCAGACAAACTCAGAGTCTGAGCAAGACAGGGAAGCAATGCTCAGCCCACCCCCACTCCACTGCACCCCACTGCCCCCCACTGCCCTGGCTCAAAGAATCTGTGGGCTTTTGAGCACGAGACGTGGATGTAGACGGAAGTGTGGTCCACACAGGCCCACGTCTGTTCTGGCTCACCTTCCTCTTCCCCATGCAGCAGATGGAGCCAGGCAGACAGCCCAGGTGCTCCGGCCCAGCCTCGCTAAAGAGCAGGCGTTAGAAACGGCACAAGTTGGCTCTGAGTTCTGCCTCTATCTCCATCAGCTGGGTGGCCCCGGACCAGCAGTGTCTGGGCCTCGGGTGTCTGCCTGTAACCCAAGCCTCATTAAAAATACTCCCTTCATGGCCACGTTCTGAGGACTGAATGACAGACCATGTGTCCCCTCTTCTCTCTGCCCCCATCGCTTCCGGAAGAGGCTCATCATCTCAAAACGAGCCTCGTAGGAGGCCTCTGGTCTCCCCTCCCCACCCCCAACTCCTTCTCTACTCTGAGCCTCACTGGTCTCCGGAATCTCGAATCTGCCAGTAACTCTCCTGCTTAAAGCCCTGCAGCGGCCTCCCGGCACATCCAGGACGAAGTCCAACTCTTCTCTTTGCATTTATGGCCCCGAGACCTGTCTCTTATTATCTCCGATCACTAACACCCACAGTCCCCAACCTCACGGGTCGGTCTTGCCAGCTGACTCGACAGCCGTGACCCTCCACGCACTGTATCTTTCTTCGTGCCGCATCTTTGCCCAAAATGTCCTCTTGAACCTTGTCTCTGCGGTGACCACCTGCCTGTCCTGGACGCTCAAAATGACCTCTGCAGGCAGAACTGGCTTCTCCCGACGAGGGCCCCACTACACCCTGGACACAGGGGCTCATGGATTAGTCACCAAACTGCAAGTGAGTGTGTGTGGGCATGCACGCACATGTGCACATGCGCGTTATCCTGGGGAAAGGGTCTCCAGCTATTTTTTTATTGTTTAATGTACATCCAAGAGAGTTAGCATATGGTGCAACGATGATTTCAGGAGTAGGTTCCCTAATGCCCCTTATCCATGTAGCCCATCCCCCTCCCACAACCCGTCCAGCAACCCTCTGTTTGCTCTCTATATTTAAGAGTCTTTTATGTTTTGTCCCCCTCCCTGTTTTTATATTATTGTTGCTTCTCTTCCCTTATGTTCGACTGTTTTATATCTTAAATTCCTCATATGAGTGAAGTCATGTATTTGTCTTTCTCTGACTGACTAACTTTGCTTTGCATAATACCCTCCAGTTCCATCCACATATTTGCAAATGGCAAGATTTCATTCTTTTTGATTGCTGAGTAATACTCCATTGTATATGTATATACATATACATATGTATATACATTTACATCATGTCTTCTTTATCCATTTATCCATCAATAAACATATGGGCTTTTTCCATACTTTGGCTATTGTTGATAGCGCTGCTATACATATTGGGGCGCATGTGCTCCTTTGAAACAACACACCTGTGTCCCTTGGATAAATACCTAGTAGTGCAATTGTTGAGTCGTAGGGTAGTTCTATTTTTAATTTTTTGACAAACCTCCATACTGTTTTCCAGAGTGGCTGCACCAGTGTGCATCCCCAAGCAGTCTCTAGCTTCTAACAGGAGATCTCAAAGGACTGACTCCATGACCTGAAAGATTATTTAATCTGGGTGCTGGTCATTGAGCTGATAACCCATTCCGAACCTTTCTCATTCCATATTATGTCAATAAAAAGTTTAAGGAAGGTTAAGTGGTAGCAGAGTGAGCCAGACTGCTCATAATAGCCCCACTTTGTCACACACTATTGACACGTCTCCGTTTCTCTCGTGATCACACACCCCTCAAGGGCAGGGGCTGTGCTATCTTTATAGCCTCCAGGCCTGGCGCAGGGTTCCATCCCACCCAGCCTGCCCCCTTCAGTACTTACTACAGATCAAGGCCACAGCCATCCGCAGCAGCTTGAACTGACACTTCATGCCTGACCAGTTCTATGGAAAAAGGAGAAAGTTCCATTAGATCCGGATCTGACCACCACTCCATGTATCTTGTTTAAGAAAACCTGTCATCGGGGCGCGCCTGGGTGGATCAGCTGGTTGAGTGTTGGACTTTGGCTCAGGCCATGACCTCAGGGTTTGTGAGTTTGAGCCCTGCATTGAGCTTGCTGCTGTCAGCCTGTCAGTGCAGAGCCTACTTCAAATCCTCTGGCCCCCTCTCTTCTGCCCCTCCCCTGCTCACGGGCATGCTCTCTTTTTTTCATCCCTCTCCCTCTCAAAAAATAAATAAAACATTTTTTAAAAAGTCAAGAAAAGAAAAGAAAACCTGACATTAAGGGGCCCCCGGGTGGCTCAGTCGGTTGAGCAGATGACTCTTGGTTTCAGCTCAAGTCTTGTTCTCACGATTCATGAGATTGAGCCCCACGTCAGGCTCTATGGTGAGCTTACTTGGGATTCTCTCCTTCCTTCTCTTTCTGTCCCGCCTTCCTTCTCCCTCTCTCCTTCCCTCTATTTCTCTCTCTCTCTCTCTCTCTCAAAATAATAATAAAAAAAGACAGAAAGAAAAAAAAAAAAACCCTGACATTAAAAAAAAATCTCTTGGGGCACCTGGGTGGCTCAGTTGGTTAAGCGTCCGACTTCGACTCAGGTCATGATCTCACGGTTCCTGGGTTCGAGCCCCGTGTCGGGCTCTGTCCTGACAGCCAGCTCAGAGCCTGGAGCCTGTCTTTGGATTCTGTGTCTCCCTCTCTCTCTGACCCTCCCCTGCTCATGCTGTCTCTCTCTCTCAAAAATAAATAAAACATTAAAAAAAAATCTCCACTATGTCTTGAATGAAGGAGTTACAGTTTGTTCGCACAGCACACCGGCATGAGATTTTAGGCAATGGCAAACCTATGACGGTCAGGAACGCACTTGAGCTGTGCTCACAGAGGAGGAGAATCCAGGTCTAGGGAGAGGAGGTCCCTGCCCCCCTCTACACGAGCAGAGGACACCTGAGAGCTGCATGAATTGTCGGGTCTCATGTTGGCAAAAGGGATGTGGGACAGCGGCCAAGCAGAGGCAAAGCAGAACCATCAGGATGAGAAAAGGAATCAAAATCCTGCATATGAGAAATGGATGAAGGGAAGACCCAGGGTCAAGTTCACTGTTACCGAGTATCAAATGAGTCACCATAAGGAAAGGGCACAGTCAGTGTGACCTGTAAATGGAAGGCTCAATGGACGAAAACATCAGAGAACTTTTTTAAAGCTCAGGATGTTTCCATTTCTAATAAGTAGAGCTGTCCAAAGATGGAATGCTCCATCCTAGGGGGTCGTGAGTTTCCCATCACTGAGAGGTGGGCTTTACGTCACTCGGAGGGGATGCTCTCCAGGATCAGGCACTGGAAAAGGGGGGAGCCAGATGGCCTTCAAACAAATCGCTCTTTTTCCTGAGAACCTCAGAACACTCTGAGCCTCCAAAGCAGACAGACATAGAGTACAATTATTCGCCTTACAAAAGGATTTTTCACTTTACAAAAGACTTCGCCACAGGGTTCCTTTGAGGGGCTCTCCTGCACTGCATTCAAAGTGCCATGTCGTTTATACAGACGCACGCACACACAGAAGCGAGCCTGGGCTCCCCCTGGCACACATCGGCCACAGGGAAGGAGGCTACTGGCCAGAGCCAGGGGCTTCTGCTCCCTCCCACCCCCCCCAACCCCCGCCTTCCCTGCCTGGCCCGGGCCCAGCTGAGGGTACGTCTCCCATTCCTTTGATGCTGGGGGAACACACGTGTTAAACTTTACCAAGGCCCTAAGCACTGGCACACACAATAACGCCTATGAGGGGCATCTGCCAAAAAGAGGGTGAAATCCTGCAGATTCGGCTTCCTGCCCATCGTCTCCCTTTGCCCCCAGTATCCTTCACTGACCAGCACGCCCTCTTCACATAAGGGGAGGTGGGCGACGTGCAGCCCCTCTTCAGGGGGGAAGTCTCATTTTTGCCTGCTGACATGTCCTATGCTAAGAAGCCGACGGCAGGCAATGTTGTCACCTGCCCCAGCAGAAGACAGGGAACAGGAATCGGTGTCCTTCCTGGATCTGGCAACACAATCTAACCTAGACGGCAGGCGGCCCCTCAGCTCCTCTCCAGGAGGCAACGGCAGGATGGGCAGGGACGTGGGAGTCCCTGGCGGATGGACCAGCTCCTCCCAAAGGGGGGCCCCTGCGGCCAAATGGCCCTCCCACCCCTGTGACACCCCTGTGAAGGGGCTCCAACCACTGAAAAAATCCTTTCTGCTGTCGTCCGGCCGGGCTTTGCCTCCGTCATGTCCACCCACGGATCCTAATTCTCCCCTAAAAGTGACACCCACGTTCCTAGCAGTCTTATTCTCAAAAAAAAAAAAAAAAAAAAAAAAAGTGGAAGCAATCCAGTGTCCCTAGATGGATGGATGAAGATATAAGGAAATATTATTTGCTTTAACAAGGAAAGCAATTCTGACCTGTTCTAATGAACGAACCTTGAAGACATTGTACTCAGTGAAATCAGCCGGTCAAAAAAGGACAAATACCGGAGGGTCCCCTCCTCAGAGACACAGAGAGGGACCGATTCATAGAGACATCAGGTAGAAGGTGTCTACTGCCAGCGATTAGGGGAGGGAGAATTGGGGAATGGGCACAGAGTTTCGGTTTTGCAAGACGAAGAGTTCTGGAGATCTATGGTGATGATTTCACAACCGTGAGAATGTACGAGACACAACTGAGCTGTGTACTTAAAAATGGTTAAGATGGTAAATTTTATGCTGTGTGTATTTTACCACAATTAAAAGCAAAAGTGATACAGAACACTTCCAATATTCCTTTTCCTCATAAAAACCCTGTGGGGGCGCTTGGGTGGCTCAGTCGGTTGAGCATCCAACTCTTGGTTTCGCCTCCGGTCGTGATCTCAGGGTCATGGGATGGAGCCCCGCATCGGGCTCTGCACTGGATTCTGCTTGGGATTCTCTTTCTCTCCCTCTGCCCTTCTTCCCTACTCGCTCGCTCTCTCTAAAATAAAAAATTTTTAGGGGCGCCTGAGTGGCTCAGTCGGTTAAGCATCCAACTTCAGCTCAGGTCATGATATCATGGTTTGTGGGTTCGAGCCCCGTGTCAGGCTCTGTGCTGACAGCTCAGAGCCTGGAGCCTGTTTCCGATTCTATGTCTCCCTTTCTCTCTGAGCCTCCCCTGCTCACACTGTCTCTCTCTCTCAGAAATAAATAAAAAACATTAAAATAAATAAATAAAATAAAATAAAATCTGAAAAGAAATATCTTACCTAAAGACGGCGTCTCTTTCACTGTGTCCTGAGTGATACTATCAGGGAAAAATTCAGTCTAGAATACATTGGCCACTCTCTCCTTCAGCTGAGGTCCATACCTCCTTCAGTCCCTACCTGGGGTCTGTCTTCAAAAGCACCGTCTGTATTTTTGGTCTGGCAAGGCCAGCAGGGAGGTGGCTCAGAACTCCTCTTTGGCTAAGGTCTTCATTTGTAAATCTGGAGTGACACCAGCGCTCACCTCAGCTCCTACCTCACGGGGTCGTGAAGGTAAAATGAACTCAGACGCATAAAGCACTAAGAACATTGCCCGGCATGTGGTAAGCGTCATTTAAGTGTCTGATATGATCATCTAGCCCTGAGACAAGGGTGGTGGGTTGCCCCGCACAGCACCTTTACACTTTCTAAAGGACCCTGGACTAGCCAGGCAAGTCCAGCTTCGCCACAGGGCTGCCCAGGCCGGCCTCACTCCCGATCCCTGCCTGGCCCCTGAAGCCATTGGACTTGACCAGCTCGATCCAGTCACACCTCCTGAACTTTAGGAAGGAAGAAATGGAGGGAGAGTCGAAGAGGGCTGGTTCAAGGTCACGGTAAGTTAATGTCAAGGTCACTAGGGCCCTCAGTCCAGGGCTCCGTCTGCCCGCACTTCTGAGACAGGCTCCCATTCTGTCTGTGCCCGCTGTCCCCGCTGGCCGTTCCACCTGCCTCCAAAGCTGAGCAAACATGGGGAAATGACTAGTCTCCCAGCAGCTGAGGGGTTAAACTCCAGTCACCCCTTCCCACCAGCCGCTTCCTTTCCCGGACCCATGATTCCCTCCAATGAAATGAAAGCAGTGAAAAAACAGGAGGAAAGGAAGAGATCTCCCCACAGCCAGCATGGCTGCTGCTATAAATGTGGAAACGCCTGCGGCCCCAGGGCACGCACGGCCCTTGCAGACCCTTTTAATTTATTTCTCTCCCAGACCCTTGCAGGGTGAGAAAGAACCCACTCTCAGCACAGCAAACAAGGGGGTAACCAGTCCCCTGGCATTTCGCTCACCCAACCAGGTAAGAGCTCAGAGGCTGGAACCCAGTCAGGAAACTCACAGCTTCGCATATCCTGGGGGAAGCGGTTTCTTGTCAAAAGACTTGGAGAAATCCCAGCACAGGAAAGAGGAAAGCATGACACAGACAAACTGGGGAGTGATTATCTGGCCCATGAAAGGATTTTTAGTAATAAAATGAACCTTATGACATAAGAAAAACCTTAGACTTTTATGACCAGTCTAAAAGTCTGGTGTCTTTTAGACAATGCTCTTTCTTTGTGCTTTGACAAGATGGTCCTGTCGCAAAAACTGAGGATCTCGAACATTTTAGGGAAACATCTATCGCATAGAGCAAAGTGTAAGTAAATATCTTGTAGAAGTAATAATAGGACTCTGGGGGCGCCTGGGTGACTCAGTCGGTTCAGCGTCTGGCTTCAGCTCAGGTCATGATCTCGCAGTTCGGGAGTTCGAGCCCTGCGTCGGGCTCTGTGCTGACAGCTCAGAACCTGGAGCCTTCTGCATCTCCCTCTCTCTCTGCCCCTCACCCACTCACGCTCTCTCTCTCTCTCAAAAACAAATAAATGTTAAAAATGTTTTAAAAAATAATGGAACTCTGGCCTGTGGGTCCCAGCAAAAAGCAATTAATAAATTATTCAATTATGTTTATCTCAATACT